TTTTTTATGTGCTTGTCTGATTAGTTAGTATAGCCTACCATTATTTGTCCATTTGACCGCTCCACTTTTTGACCGATTGGAGAGTGCCACCGCCTCTGCAGTTTAGCTGTTGTTGGGCAACCAGGAATCAAGAATCCCGCCGCCAAGGCACTATTCTCCAAGGCCACCTCGTTGTCAGGATTCGCAGAAGCGTAGAGGGCACCAGTAGCAAGTTCTAGTCCCAGTGCTCCATCAAGGCCGGGATTCTGCTCGGCCACTGGGTCACGCATGGTCTGTCTGGAAAGAATCAAAGGACTGCCTGGAAGTCCACTTGCAATAGCAACAGAAGTGTGGGTCGTGCTATTGACCAATGGGTAAGCGAGACCGGAAGAGGGGCAGAAGTCTCCAGGAGGAGGCGACCCCATGGATGAGCAAAGTGGGTTAAGTGTTTGAAGTTCCGATAAAGAAGGTTGATTTCCTGGAGAAAAGAAAAGACAGGCAGTAGTAGACAGAGGACCATTCGAGCAAGCAGAGCCTGTTGCTGGGTAAAGACCGACACCAGATGGGTCCGCAAGCTGATGGTAGGCGGGAGAACCAGTAACTGTTGCGGAGGCGGTTTTAAAGCTATCAAGGGTGGGTGCTGCTCCAAGCACGTGGTCGCCAGAATCAGGTAGCGTGTAGTATGCTGAATTAATAAAAAAACATTATTATGTTATTTACACTATCAAAAAATGGTGTATTTGGTTAGAATGTACCATAATTGCAGTCTGAACTTGAAAAACAACAAAATCATTTGAATAAGATTCCTGATTCTCAACTATAAGGAGCCTGATTGTTGTAGCGATTAGACTAGTTTTCAACTTACAATGACTCTCCGCAATTGCAATAGGGTCATGACTGTGCTATAGAACAAATTTTAGAGGGTCTTATGTCTTAGGGAGTACGAAATTTGTTTATTACCTCGTTATTTTAAGATTCGAGGCCTTATGGAAGTGTATAAAAGACCTGAGTCAGGCTGATGCTGCGTTCCAGCCTGGATTAGAGAGACCCTCTGCAATTAATAGCGAGGGAAAATTCAAGACCAAGTTTTATTTTCAATGAATGTCTAAATAAACAGAGTTACTTTCAATATATTATGGAAACCATTCGAAATTTAGCATTCTCTACATCCAGAGCATCTTAGTCTGCTACCTACTTCAGATTTTATGTTCATGTCTGAAATGTTACAAGTTTATCACTTGGAAATACAAAATATAAGTCTGTTATTAAGCTAAATAATTATGCCTTAAAGCATATTTAGTACATGAAATACGCCTTTTAATCCATACTTTTGCTATCATACCAATAAGTAAGCAAAAATACTCCAATAATCAGAAAATGAGATGAACCTCTGAGTAGTT